GATGGCCTCTTTTCAAAACATTTTCAAAACCACACACAAAGCACCATTTCAAACAATTGAAAAGCAAAAGCAAGTGATCTAAACAAGTAACTAAGAGCCCATGGATAACCATGGATGAAAAGGGTGATTGCACCTTCCCTTTTCATAATCTACTTCCCGAACCCGAGAAAACATCTCAAAGGTCTTTCCTGTGCTTTTTGACCTTTCCTTAGGATAAAATAAAAAGTCGGTGGCGACTCTTGCTAAACCGAAACATTTGCAAACACAAACACAAAACCTCAAGTCAGTTCTCCCACCGTATCACAATATACGACATCATTTCCTTCATGATCATGTACTTCAAGGAGATGTCGAGGTAACATTCATAGATACTCATAATCAACTTGCCGATATCTTCACTAAACCTTTGGTAAGAGAACCATTTTACAAGATTCGACGAGAGCTTGGAATTCTTGATGAACACGACATATAATGTGCTTTCTATCCTTGTTATGATTTTATATATTTGTCTTAACCTTGTTATATGTGAACATACATGTTAAGTAGTGTTTAAGTTTAAGAAAAATTTGTTTTTGGTCACTTTTGGTTGATGCAAATCGATTACTCACTGAATGTTTTTATTTTTGACCTTTCTATTTCAGTGCAAATTGATTGAACCATAAGTGCAAATCGATTACACTCTGTGTGTTTCAGTTTTATTTTGCTTTTGTTTTATGTGCAAATCGATTGCATCTGTATGCAAACCGATTGCACCCACTGTAACATGCTTTTATGATAGAAATATTTGTTGGTAAGAGGAATTCCTCTCTCTCTCTCATATTCCCAAACTCATCTCTATTATTGAAAAGCCAGTTAAACCTCATTACATACAATACAACCCACTCATTTCTATTTACTCACAAATCATATCCAAACTTCAGCTCATCAAACATCTTCCTCTCAAAACCTAAAACCTTCCAAACCCTAAAAACACCTTACAAAGGATTCGGAGAATCCATTAATCCATTAAAGGTGTCAGCTTCAGAGAAAGGGAAGAAAAAGGTTGGTTCATCCTCTGAGAATACATTAATCTCATCTCTCACCGAAGAACAAGAAGCAATATTTACAAAGGATTTTCAAAGAAAGATAATGTCCAATCCTAAAGATGGTATGATATCATCTTTTCCCCGGGAATGTTTCTCTTTTCAAAATGATTTAACTGCTTATGGACTAGAACCATTAATTTCATCATTTGGTCCATATTATCCGGATCTGGTAAGGGTATTTTTTAGCAATTTAAATCCTCACAAAGGCAATATGGTGACATATGTGTTGGATACATGAATCTCTCTGACCCCTGAGATTGTTGGTGAGATTCTACATATTCCCTACACTGGAAGCTCTTTGTACAATCCTGAAAACGAGGCATGGGATGACTACAGGAAAAAGGAATTTTATTACAGCATTGGGAGATTGAGCGAAGCTGAATTCCGTGCCAAAAGGATTAATGGTCTAGGAGGAGTGATTCCCTCTAGAGACTCATGGAGTGCAGGTAACTTTTATATATACGATCGACTATTTCATTATTTCATGGTCTATATTATGTTTCCACGAGATGGAAACCACTGCACCGTGACTGACTTGGAAATGCAGATGATCTATGCAAGGAAGAAAGGTATAAGTGTTAATTGGGTAAGGCTCATAATGGTTCATATGCTAAGGATTGATGCAAAATCAAAATTTCTACCATATGCCTACTTTGTTACATTAATTATGGAAGAATTTGGAGTTTATTTTGCTGGGTTTGAGAAAGTTAATATGGATCCAAATCTGCATAAGATTTAAATCAAAAATGTTGACTCAAGAATGGGTGTTCATTATCCAGAAATAAAAACTATAACTTACATTGGTGAAGATATGGTCGGTGATGAAGGAAACGATCAAGAAGTTGAAGGTGGTGAAGTTGTACCTCCTCCACCTACTGCTCCCTCTGGTCCAAGCAATCAAGATCTTATGGATTTCATGTCTCAACTATTTTCTTCCATGAATACCATCAACAACCAATGGAATTCTATCAACGATTCTACAACAACCCGGATTAATGACTTCCGCACAGATGTGAATCAACAATTTTCTTACCTTTACTGTCATCTTCACATTCCACCATATGGCCCAAATAATCCAGTTGCACCTCCACAACATTAATCAGAACCTCCTCTACAACAATAATTTCAAAATCAAGGATCTTGGTTCTATAACAACCGGGACATGAATCAACAATAAAGTTTTGTCCAGCTTTATTATGTCTATTGTTTTCTGTTATGTCCTTGTTCAGTTATGCTACATTTTGTTTGTTGTTTTTTATATTTCTTTGTAATCGTTATGTTACTATGTGTATGACTATTTGTGATGCATGATTAATTAAGTTTTTTTAAAAATATTGCTTTATTATTATCCATTTTTATTGCAACTTTCCCTTCTTTTTGATAATGTCAAAGAGGGAGAAGGATGTGGCACTTTATGCTTGTATATTTCCTGTCTTAAATTTCTAAGGTACTCTTCAACCAAGATGAACGAATTCAAAGGATTCCCACCTTCTCATACAAAGGGGGACTTATTCATCTTAGGGGGAGAAGCTATTTCCGGAAATTACAATGCATCAAGCAAGATCGTTTGTCATCATAAAAAATGGGGAGTGTAAAATCAAGCTTCTCAAATGCACTTTTGTTTTGATGAAATCAAACCATGATTGACAAATAAGGCAAAGATTATTGATCAATCTAAAAGCATCTATGGATAAAGTCTTTGGTTCAAGCACTTAACAAAATTTCAAGGTATAATGATAATACATACTTTGAACTTAAGACGTAGATGCTCAATGGTCAAAAGAAATATTTTATATTGTCCAAATCCTTACTCAAGTTTTTCTAAGCTAAAAATCATTTTCACTTGAGTGGAATTGATTTGCATATTAGTGCAATCGGTTGCATGCTTAAATTTTTCAAAACATTTGCTACTGTTTCTAAGTGCAATCAATTTGCATGTTTGTGCAATCGATTGCACTCAATCAATTTTTGCTACTGACTTCAAATGCAATCGATTTACACACTTGTGCATTCGACTGCACACTGAAAATATTTGAATTTCTAGATGTTGAGACCCCGTGCAATCGATTTACACAAAGGGTGCAATCGATTGCATGCTGAACGATTTTGAAAAACAGCAGCTTTACACGTGCCTGCTCATAACACCAATTCATGGAAACCTTTCACTCGATCTTGGCAATTGTTCATGATTCATTTACAGAACTTTATGTTATTTCAAAAGGGTGCTATAAACATATAAATACTCATTTTCAAAATCATTTTAAGAACCTCTTCCAATCATATTTTCCGAGTTTTCAAAAATCAAACTCAAGCTGTTATACATTTTCATACACAAGTTTTCTGCATACTTTCACATATTGTTAACCAGAAAACTTTGAGCATTATATATCTTGAGTCATTGTATACTATTATCATTGGAAGAGAAGATCAATTCATTGATTAAATCACTCTAAGTGATCATTGCTACTCAAACTCACTCAAATCAAATATTGGTATATACTTGCTTGTTTTTCAGGATTATTGGAAATAAGTTTAAGTGGTTTTATAAATCTTATTTTTCCAGGATTGTTGGATACAAGTAAAGTCACTTTGAGAGGATTGTTCTCACTGTTGACATAGTGAAAATCTAAGAGGATTGTTCTTGGTTCAAGAGGATTGTTCTTGGTTTTGGGTAGTTCTTGTTTAAATTTGCCACAATAAGGAAATCTCTTTCATGTTGAAAGGTGACTGAAGTACTCTCGGACTGTGAGGGGAACCATGATATATCGTTTGTGTCTCTTTATTTTTTTGCACTTTACTCTTTCATAAACTCACCATAAACCAGAAAAATAATATCCATCATCATTTAAACCAAAAAAAATTAAAAGCACCTAATTCACCCCCCTCTTAGGCACACTTCATACTTACATAATATTCATCAATCAGCCCACCAATCAGAAATCAGTTCCTTGTAGAATTATTAAAAAAAAACGAAAATTTCTAGAAAATAATAAAATGAAATGCGTTCTGATTGGATAATAGGAATTGACATGATTCAACCATTGAATTCCACGTCTAGGACATGAGCCCAGTCTACCGGCAATAAAATCCGATTACTTTCTCCAGTGCCTCAGGTGACCAGAGCTGATAAAATTCAATAAGAAATTACAAGGCTTACCCTATTCTATTTGGTTTTTTGCCCTGAATCCATTTCCAGCCTTCATTTTCATAGTAACTTACTCAAACACAGAAGAAAATAAAAAATGTGTAGATCTAAAAAAGCATTCAAAATGTAGCACATATATCCACGACAAACGTTAGAGCCTAGTTCCGGCCTCCAGTGGTATGGAGTTCACAGATGCAGATATATGATGCTAGCGTGGTACTCCTAAGTTACTAGAAGGTTTCAAGAAAAACTCACTTGTTCGAAGGTCGTAACTCGTATGATTCCAAGATAACTCAACTGCTGCTTCTTGGATCTCTATGAGGATAAGGATGAGTGTCCAAGAAAAACCATGCTTTAGAGAAATAAACTCAAAGCACTTCCTTGAAGCCATGAAGGAATACTCGATCTGGATCGTGACAGAGCTAGCTTTGAAGGACGAATAGCGTGAGAAGAGATATTCTTCTTGCTCAAAAGAAAAAGAAGAAGCAAAGGGATCTCTGAATAAAGCTTGGAGTTCGGAGGATCGGGAGAGTTGTTCCGCAGATGATGAATAAAAGAGAGAGATAGAGGGTTTGTTGTAGGTATCAACGAGAGATAGTGTGTTTGTTGAAGGGAAGAGTAGAGTTTACTATGATTCTTTATGGTTGAAAATGATAAAAGGAGATAAAAGAGAAAGTAAAGTTGTTATTATGATCAAAGATGAAAAAGAGAGCCAGAGGTTGTTACTGATTTTCTAACTGAATCATAATGGTTGTCACTAACTCCTTAAGATGAAGAATGAAGCTTTTATATCTGGTTGGCGTGTGTGTTCAACCTCTAAATTTTTCTTAAGTTTGTATTCTGAATGGAGAGAGAGAGAGAGAGAGAGAGAGAGAGAGAGAGAGAGAGAGAGAGAGAGAGAGAGAGAGAGAGAGAGAGAGAGAGAGAGAGAGAGAGAGAGAGAGAGAGAGAGAGTTCATCGGTTTGTGATGTGGTGTTGTTGTTATTTAGAAGAAAATGGAGAAGAGAGTTTGTTAGATTTGTTATCATAAATGAAAGAGAGAGTGTGTGTTGAATGGAAGAGAGACATAGTTTGTTACATTTTTCATAACTGACTTGTAACCAACTCCCACTCAATAATGGTGATGGAGTTGTATGCAAGGCATGTTGCTTGCGATCAAGTGAAAGAGAGAATATCATAGCATACAGTATTCACCAATAGCTTATTAACCAAAAAAACATCTTCCATTTTGAATGTAAATTCTGAATTGCACCCCCACGGGATTTCTTTTGTGTGGTCATTTGTAGTAATAGATAGTGATGTATACAATGTGTGCTTTGTTGTATCTGTAAACATATTGGCCAAATGAGATGCATTATGGTGAGGCTTTTTAAGAAATGCTACTGTCAAATTTGTGGCCATGTTGCTGAATTTGAAACCCGATATCTTGATGATCAAGAATCTAAATATCATAAAGTCAAGAGATCGTAAATAATGGAAACGACCACAAAATATCATAAATATCAATGCATGTAGCATGCTTTAAAACAACCACAAAGTCAAGAGGTCATAACTAATGGAAACACCGGCAATTTCACCAACACCGCCAACTATTTACCAACTTCTTTTTCTCAACTTCGTGACTTGATAATTTGAAATATAGAGCTCTTCAGAATAAGGTCCCAAGATCAAAGTTGAAGAGAGAATTCCTCTGAACAACTTTAATGTTGAGAGATTCTTGAAATAATACTCGCAAACCCATGAAAAATGGCTCTGAAGTAGCCATGTCAATGCTTACCGCAACATCTAAAAATTCACTAAGCTCAAAATCCAATTACCAACCTCACTTTCCTGATTTCGTGAGGCTATAATTTTCTCAATAATGATCCAAATGAGGCAAACTCGATACCGTTGGAAAGAGGACGAATGATAGAACAAGTTTGTAGTTCATCCTCAATCCAAATATGGTTTTAATCATGGAGAAAATTTGTCATGAATTCATGCCCTGCAACTGTTCGCACTACAACATTTATTGTCTCTGGCAACACTTTTTTAGGTTACATGTAAAAATTGTTGCCTCAAATTCGTATAGGCAACAATTTATAGTTGTTTCCAAAAATATATTTGCAACCCTTGATAATCGTTGCCTAAAATACTATTGGGGACGTTTTTGGAGCGTCATTCTTTTATTTTTTTGGCAACAATTGTTAATTGTACTCTTAACTGCTTCTGGGAACGATTTTAGAGCGTTAATATATTACTTCTTTAACAATGTTTGATAATTGTCCCCTAAAATACTTTTGAGGACATTTTTAAATTGTTACATTAGTTATAATAAAAGGCTACACTTCTTCAATGTTGCATAAAATTTTAGCACCATCAAATTTTTGGTGGGAATCTTCCCTCCAAAACTTATACCCTAAAAAACAAATATTTCCCTCTAAATATTATTAAAATGAATATATATATATATATATATATATATATATATATATATATATATATATATATATATATATATATATATATATATATATATATATATATATATATATATATTCTAACACATAATATAATAATATATAACTATAAAAAAGGTGCACAATTTTTTTTAGAATAAAAAATCTAAAAAATAATCAGACATATTCCAAAGAAAAAAAAATGTCAAACAAATTGAAAAGGAAAACGAAAGTTCTCCTTCTTCAAACATCCTACCGCCGAATCTCATCCTGAACCGTGTTGTCGTCTCATCTCGCCAGTTGATTCTTTCAGTGTTCACAGTTGTTGATGATGACGCCTTCTGCTCCTGCGACTCTCCCCCTTCCTGCATCGTAACCACCCAGTCTAATCACGTTCGTCGCGCCGCTTTCGAGTCCATCAACATCACCGTCTTTCTTCCAACGACGACATATTCTATTTCATCTCTTTTACTCTTTATTACATTTGCATTTTCATTTTCTCATTTTTTGATTATTTCTCTCTAGGTCGTTTGTGCAACGTCATCGTTTTCTCGGTTAAAGCTCAATATGTATTTCATCAGTTTCAAATTGTTTGGGAAAGAAACGTTATCGTTTTATTGACTAGATTTGTTGTTGTTGTTGTTACAGTGAAGGATGTTGTATAGAAATTGAAGTCGCTTTTAGCTAAGGATAAACTTTTGGTTTTTGTTGCTGTTGGAATCAAGTTGAAAGATCTTTAGGTAACAGAATCCTGTCATTTTTCTCCTTCATTTCCTCTTATAGAGTAGAATTCTTTATTATAAATTTACACAAGCTTGAGTTAATCTGTTTTTACAAGTTATATAGTTTATTTGTTGTATATAAGCTGAAATTAACAATGCTCAAACACCCGACACGTACTGAAAATAACACTGACAAATACATTGGTAGTAATAAGAAAATGTCAAATAGAAATAGTTGAATATATCATGTCTCAGGATCAGACAATACTTCAACTTGAAGTACCAATAATATATAGAAACCAAGTAAAAATCAAGCAACGTTGTTGAGCAATAAACATGTAGACCTCCAAATCTTTCATTTGGACGAGGCTTGTAGGGCCAACATGTGTTAGAAAGCAATAAACATCAATATAAGTGATAGCCCTTTTTAGTTTTTATAATTATATATGGACCAAAATTAAGAGATACTGGAACTTTCAAGAAACAATAATCCTAAAAATTGAATCTAACTCTTTGAAGAAGCACACAAGATATCACAATAATGACAAATCTTATACTCAAAACAAACCAGTGTATTATATGAACATATTCAATCAAGGACTAAGTCATTTTTTATAATACCATGAATACGCAATCACAAGTTTTAGGCTCTTAATGACGTGGACATGTGAAAAATACATAAACCAACTGCAAATAATGTCTACAAGTGGAAAAATAGATAAAGTAATTAATCCTAATTCGTGAAATGCTAAAAAGTAGTCAATCTTAACTGCATTATGTACATTTGCAGCTTAAAACGATACTTCACTTCTTCTCGTTTTTCTCTTAGTGGCTGCATTATGTTTAAGCAAACTACAACATCAACATTAATTTTTCAACAAGCAAACACATCATAGAATTGATATATACAAAGACAACCTTAAACTATCTCTTCCACGAAGTAACATATGTAACATAGTTTAGCTCATCTGATATTCTGGTGTGTTTCTGATGCAAATCCGAAATTGGAAATATAGTTTGAAGCTTCGTTTCCAAGTCAGTTAGAAACGAGATTATCCCTATATCTACTATTCTACTTTAGTGTATTGAGGTTGGCCGCTCCCCGCGTCTATCCTGTTAAGACTGGTTTTGATATGAAAAATGCCGGTGTTAGAAACTGGTTCTGATATGAATAAACACCGGGAAATGCTACTCTTTAAGAGTTACATACAATACAAGACAGTACTCTAACTGTCACAAACAACCCCTAGGAATTAGAGAGCCTATTGTCTCCCAAACCAACCAACATACAGAATACCCAATCCCCTCCCTTTTCCTTTCAGCCTATATTTATAACTATTAACTTTTTTCAGCAGTTTTTGACTTCCTGCAGATGTTAGACAGCAGTTACTGCAAATTCAACATTTAACAATAATAAAATAATTTGCCTACTAGTAAAACATAATTTATGTTGCAGCATTACCTTGATTTATATGCTTCTTTCTGACATAAGTCCTAGTGATAAGAGGCCTTTTACTAACACATCCATTGTTAGTTTGTGTTTAAAACAATTAAATTTTATTGCAATTGTTGAGTTATTGTGATGTGAAGTGATGTGGTTAGGACTTAGAAACTTGCTTTGTCTATTACTAGCAATAGCAACCAAATTACGAGTCCTTGGCTTTTTTTCTTTTTTCATTGAAACTAAATGTTATGAACAATGACACCCCTTTAATTTCTGGAAGCAAGTTTTAGCTATTATCTGAACTGGACTTTAAGATAAACTTAGCTTTTGAGTTATTATGTCTATAAAATTGAGCATATGTATTCTACTGAGTTTCTCAGCTGGTTTTGGGATGATCAAGAATTATTATCACCTATATGATATACCGATGAATCATACAAAGACATCTTTTAACCCGTATGTGTATTAAAGATGTCTTTACATGTTTGGTTTTTCTTGTTTCTACATTTGTTCTGTGTGGCTTGTTATATTGATGATGGAGCATGGGTTTGATAATTGTTAATGATGAGGGACTAGTTATTATGGTAACAAAAGTCATGTTTGTCTCTCTTCATTTATGCTATTTGTTTATGAAATTTTGTTCTTTTTTCTCTTCGAGGTATCTTTTCTCGTACATGATGAATGTGTTGTTGGGTTTGTGATGAATGTATCAACTAATAAGTAGCAATTATTTGATTATGCTGCTAAACTAGAGTTTGAAGTGTCACTGTTGTTACTACTGAAGAACAATTATTTTAATCATTATTGTTTCTATGGTCTATTTATCTAATAAACCCCACCACTTCAACGTGTACATAATATAGCCATTAAACTAGAAATTTGAGATAAGCAAGCTGTGGTAATTTACTCATAACTTTTTTTTTGGTTACGTTTATGAAGTTAAAATGTGTGTGATTGTAGATTTTCTCCAACTACAATTTTTCCCCTTAATGACAGTGGCTTTGAAGAACTCCTTAAATTATTGATACTTGAATCATTAGTCTGTATTATATCTATAAATAACTATCGAGTAATTAGCTGCTGATTTAAATAGAAGAATTCTGATAATCTGATGGAAGATTCTTGTCCAGGGCATATATCAGGTGTGATGATTTTTGTTGATACAAGTGGAGAATCCTTAAGGAAAATGCAAAATTTTGGGGTAAGCTTTTGGTTTTCTCTCTTTTTTATTAATGTTTTTTGTATTCTTCGAATACCACTTCCCAGCATAATGATTCCTTTGTTTAATCTTCATATCCATATCAGTTTCGAAAGCTTATATTAGTTGGTTCTCAGAGATTTAATTTTTTTAAGTCGATTGAAAGTTTATTCAAATAATAAATACTGCCTCAAAAAATTCCACCTTGCTTTTCACATGGGCTGTAAGTGAAATGTTTTTTTGCTGGCTCTTTACTGTTACAGTATGTTTCTTGAGGTATTGAGTGCAACCAATTTGTTGTGTACATTCAGAATTTTGTTGGAGGGCAATCTGAATTTACTGGTCATCACTTCAACTCAAAGATAAAGTAAGAAAATTGTCTGTTGGTTTACAATCTACATGAAGATGTTCCCATTTGATTGCTTTCCCCATCCCCACACCTTGCCTTTACTTCATTCTAACATTCAAGATACATATTACCTCTTGCTAGGAGGCCTGATGGCGTGCATGGTGTGCTTCTACATCACAAGTAACTCTCTAACTTGTTAATACACTTTTAGGCAATGGATGAAAAATTAACTGATACATGCATCTACAGGACTGCAAATGAGCAATCTCTGCTCACATTTGCAATTGCAGCAGAAGAGACTGAATATGTTCATATCTCAGAATGCTCTGTCTTTGTTATATCTGGTTCTCACAAAGGCATCTCAGCGAAGGACATGTGGCATGAAGTTAAACAGGTTATGAACCTGCTTTCAGATTTTATTGATCTTTGTTTTTTTGAAATGTCTATGTTCGGTGTTATTACCATCAAGTTATTCATTCTTTATTCAGGCTGTGTTGCCCCATATAAGCTATCACTATGCTCCAAGCATTTTATAACACAAGTACTTGAAGACGTGGATGAATGAGGTGGAGTACATGAAGGGATAAATGAATAACGTGTCATAAATGCCAAAAGGTATACACCCGTCATGATATACTATTTTTGAAGTTGAAAACATGGATAACACATGGGTGTAATTTGATTCTATAGGTATTGCTGTCAATGTTGCAAAAGAAAAACATGCACTTTTTAAGGACAATAATTATGCTCTTTCTTGATATCCTCTCATGTGTCATGTGTTTCGATATCATGTTTTTTTAATTCAACCAGTGTCATTGAGGTATAAATCAACTTATGTACCCAACAGGTATCCCACTTACAACAGTTGTTTCTGGGTATTAATGCATAATGTATTTTGCTCGTTATTTTTGTTGTTTATTTGTGCAAGGTTTAATTCTTATTGATGTCCTAATTGTCCTTTGGACCAAAAATATTTATGGTTGATGTATTTTGTTTTATTTTCTTATGCAACAAGGTATTAATGAAGATTTTGAAAAGGACGATATAAATGATGAAATTCAAGAGGACGGCGTAGATGCTGGATTTCAAGAGGATGTTATAGGTGATGAATTTCAAGAGGACGACATAGATCTAGATGATGAATTTGAAGAGGACGGTGTAGATGGTGAATTTCAAAAGGATGACATAGATGAAGAATATCAGGAGGACGACATATGTGATGAATTTCAAGAGGAAGATCTGGATGACGTATTCCAAGAAGACAAACTTGAATGAATTGGATGATGTCTTTTTTTTTGGCTTGTAGTTGAAAGCATTAAACTTGAACTATGTTTTTTGTTCTTCTGCTGAACTTTGTTTTTTGTTATTTTACTAGGGTCATACTTCAAAGTATTAAACTTAGTGTTATAAGTAATGTTATGTTAGACATTTAGTTTAGTGGATAGTATCTTGAATTAATGTTTGAACTCGATTTTATTATAATATAACTTTTATGGAGGTACGGTTAAATTTGATATGGTTTAAATTACAATCGACAATTTTTTAAGCCAGTATTCATCGACTAAATTATTTAGAAAATAATTGCAAAATTGTATATTTTAAACAACAACCTATAAGCTATGGCTACACTTTAAAAACGATCCTCTTGATTCATATTTAAGGCAACGGTTATTAATTGTAGCCGTATATGGAAACGCATAAAAAGCGTCACCTTAGAGGCCATAAATAATTGTCCCCTATTCCTTTAATTTAGGCGACGCTTTTAAAAAGTGTGCCCAGAGAACACGAAAAAACGTCCCCTTAGGCTATAGGCAACGCTCGCACAGGAGACGCCTGGAAAACGTCTTCTATTCTTTTAGTCAACGATTTTCAGAGTTCTGACAATGTTTTTCAAATGTTGCCAGAGGCAACAAATGTTGTAGTGTCGACAAAATTACAGGCCTGGCTGGGCAAGCCTTGCATGTGACACCCTGCGTCTTGGCCACTTAAACCTCCCTACTTTGAACCTCAATATCTCTCTCCACAATGCATGAAATGAAACGCGCTTTAAACCAAAACTGAAGAGGACACAACAAACTCCAGCTTTTATGTTCAACATTTTTCAAAATGAAAACTAAATTCATAAGAAAAACCCCCATGAACATGTGCATGCCACCTGTTCCATAAATGTTGGCCTGACTGGGAAAGTCTTGGAAAATTTTGCCTTTCAAGCCCTCAAAACGTAAACATCATAACTCTCTCCACAAGCCACCAATGAAATTATTTTTGAATCAAAATTGGAGAGGGGACTCTAATCTCCAACTTTTATGTTCTGAAATTTTTTATTTGAGTCCAAATGAGACCCTGAAAATAGCAATGAAACTTGCAACATTTTGGAACATATCTTGAAAATTACTAAGTGTCCAGAAATTTATAAGCCCCATAACTCCCAAAATAATCACTTTTTGGACTTGAGGTGTCAAAGACAAAGTTGAAGAACTTTCCCTCCTCTTTACAACCATATAAAGTTTGCACATTTTCAATAATTATTGAGAAAGTTATAAGCAATCCAAATCTAGTACTATGAACACTTAAGCAAAATTCCAATTTCTGAATAACTTCTTTGACAAGTTATCCCTAATTCAGCATTTCCTTTTGACTTTGTGCCACCATAGCTCACGAAACATAGAAATAGGAACATTGAGTTGATGATTAACAAAAAATACCTATAGTCAACAGTTGACTTTAGCTGACTTTTCAGTTCATACATACTCAAATATCTCCTTATTCAATTAACTATGGTTTTCTGATAAGGTGTGAAGATTAATAAACCACCTATGAATGCTTTAAGAATAATGGAGAACTATGAGATCATCTTAAGCTTGAAAAATCAGTTAAATCCTGCCACTGATCAAAAATCCTAGTTTGCATCACAAAAGATAGGAGATGTTAACCATAGCTCAAAACTCTAATCCAACTGAGATATCTTAAAGAACACTTGAACTCATGTATCTTATGACTTAAGATGACATTTATGATGGAGAGACTTCATATGCTCGACCTTTGAAGATAAATTTTCTTCTCTTGGGCAATATACACTCATCTAGCCAAAACCCTTGATCCCATGTCATTGAGTTAATGCAATGCAAATAATGAATATGATGATGAAGCATAAGCTATTTTGTTTACTAGTAAGAGGGAAAAAATTTGGGTACAACATCATGCATATGAGACAATTCAAGATTCAACCTCTTAACACAATCCAAAGAAATGAAACAATATTTTGTACCAGTATCAATGATACCAATCAAAGGTGTACTGTTAATAAAGCACATACCTCAGATTAGTCTATCCTCAACAGCAGTCTCAGAACCAGACAATGCAAACATTTCCCCTCTAACTTTATCCTTCTTTGGCTTGTCACACTTGGTACTAATGTGCCCATGCTCACCATAATTGTAGCAAGTCACACTCGAACCAACCTTGCAATCAATAGCTTTGTGACCTGGCTTGCCACACTTGAAACACTTCCCGAAATCCTTTCCACACTCAGAAGCATGATGCCCTTCGACACCACACTTGAAGAACTTAATCTGAGTAGAAGTTCCTCCCCTACTTGGGTTCTTACCATAACCAGTTTTTTGTTTCCTCTTGTCATCATACGACTTCCCACAAAATTGACCTTTCTCTTTCCTATCATGCAAATTCTTATAGTAAGAAGCCTTCTCCCTACTATCCTCATCATAAATCCTACTCTTGTTCACCAACTCAGGAAAACAAGGAATCTGTTGGTAACCAATAGCCTTCTTGATATCATGTCTCAAACCATTCACAAACTTAATACATTTATACCTCTCAGCATTAGCGATATTGTAATGAGGACAATACTTAATCAACTCTTGGAATCTTGCAGCATACTCAGCTACAGTCCCATTACCCTACTTCAGCTTAAGGAATTCCACCTCTTTCTTCCCACACACATCTTCCAAAAAATACTTCTCCAGAAAAGCATCACATAAAAGAGCCCAAGTAACCTCAATACCATCTCCATCAAACCTCTAAACATTATTGTTCCACTAATCCTCAGCTTCCTTCTCAAGCTTATGATTACCAAATTGAACCTTTTGTGCATCAGTATAACTCATGACTCAAAAGATCTTTTCAATTGCCTTCAACCATGCTTGTGCCTTGTTAGGTTTATGCTCATCCTCAAAGATAAGAGGGTTATTCCTCTGGAATTTCCCTAAAGCACGAAACTCATTATCCTCGTCTCTATTACCAGCATTCACCTGTGGAATCTGTCCAAGAGATCCAACCAACATCCTCAATGCCCCAGCAATAGCATCATCATTCCTTCCTGCAACCATCGTCCTAAGACATCCAACAATAAACAAACAGCCAGTATCAACCGTGTCAGATACATAAATCAAATACAAAGGGAATAAAGACATTAATAACCTAACCAACTAGCTGACCATGCTGTGATACCACTAATGTAACACACCTTTATAACTGTAGCGGTGAAAATTGGAGATCAAACTATTAATTAACTTGACTCACAAAAAGCAAGAGTCGCCACCGCGCTTTATTATTTCCAAAGGGAAAAGGGAAAAGAGCGAAATAAAACCCTAAAAAAACATGCAATGTAAAGTCATATTTAAAAGTAATGAAAATACAATGCGTTTTTGAAAAGAGATCTAAAGTTCGGGGGTTGGTTATGCAATGGGAAGGTATTAGCACCCAATGCATCTGCGATACTCCGCAGGAACCTTTTGAAATATCTGTTTTTTTGGTCAAAATTGTTTGTTATGTACAAGGGTGTATTTATCTACAAATATGTTTGCTTAAAGGGAAAAAAATGAGTTTTTATTATTGCGTTCGTGAGGGTTTCGCGACCCTTTGCCTACGTATCCAATGAAGGAATCAAAACACTGTAGTTCCTCTTGAAAAAGTTGATTTGTTTTGTGTTTTTTAGTGGGCGACATCATTCTAGCAATAGGCATGGCCCGTATCGCGGTAGAACAGAGATAACATGCCCTTGGGGGAGTTTTGATTTGTTGAGTGTTTTTTTGCATGTTTTAAAGTATGTTCAAGTATGATTAAAGAGTGTTTTGTTTTGGATTTTTTTGGTTTGTTTTCTTGTTGATTTTATCTTGCCTAATTACTAACATTTGTATAAAGCAAATAAAATGCAGAAAGATAAAAACCTACGCTATTACAAACATATCAAAAAGCATAAAAAAATATGAAGGAAAAGAAAAAAAAAGTAAGAAAACTGAGTGTATTTCGACCCAGGCAGGAGCACGCTTCGACTGGCATTCTGTTGGCCTCCATCGATTAGGGCTGGCAGCAGTGAAGTTATGTCTTTAGATTGGGACTTTGGCAGAGGTGAAGTCCTGTCCTTCGATTGGAGCTTGGAAGGGGCGAAGTCCTGTCTTTCGATTGGCCTGGCAGTCAGTGTATTGTGCATTTCGATTGAGACCAGTGGGACAACATGTTGTGCCTTTCGACTAGGCCTGGAATCTGTGCAAGATGTAATCTTCCTTTCTGCTTCCTT